CATAAACCCAAACATATACTTACTTTCCATCAGATGAAATTCCAACTATTCTCCTGAGATCAAGTGGCCTTCCCATGTCAAAGGGAGGGTTTGAGGCCTCAAAGGACAAGCGTCTCCTAAATGGCTCCCAAATTCCTTGAGCTTCTAGATAGGCTGTTCCAATTACCAAGAGAAAGAGCACACTGCAGAGAAGAGAGGCAGTCATCTAAGTATTTCTTAGTTTGGAGCATTTTAAGGTTAATGAATCTAATCACACAAGACAAAAAGTTTGTATCTTGTACTGAAAAGCTGAAAATTGCATCCAAACCACAACTTTGTCTGCAGAAAGATAAAATACACAAGTCTAGCATGATACACACATAGCTAACACTGAGAATGGAAGCTAGGTGCAAGTCTGACACTCAGTTGCCAAGAATTTAATCCAAAAGAAAAATAAGAGCTATAACGAAAATATTAAAACGGCATCCAAGTGGTCAGCAGCTCTCACAGCTTGTTGGTGCAATTCCATTTTAAACGCAGAGACCCTCTGTAAAGGACTGTACTGCTGCTCAGAGAAGTGTCATTTAAGAGCATTATTTCAAGGAACTTTAGAACTAAACTGCATCTGCTGTAATACCATGTTTCGGAGTTCTCCAATTACATAATTCACTGCAGTGAACTATATTTTTGAATGAAGCAATAAAACCACTGCAGAGACCTTCATCGCACTGCTATCGATTTCATCTTCTAACAGGTGGGAGTTTCGGGGGGAGGAGACACAATGACGATGACTAAAGCTTGCCTTGCCTATTACCCTAGAAAGTTTATGAGAAAAGAACTTTAAATTAACAACTTCAGTTTCTGTTCTCCCTCGTGCCGACTGCCAGTTTTTCCAAGCCCAATGTATAAAAACCAGCATCAATTCACACAAAAGGATGAGATACCTCTTGCTCAATTTCAGCTAAAAGAATCTAGCGTAGATATCATCTTTTAACTATCATCTAAAATACAAGCAACTCTGGAGACCAACTCAGCTGTTGATAGCTGGTTATCAGTGCTTTTTTCCCTGCCCTAGGCATTGAAAAGAATTCTAGATGCAGAACCAGACAGCAGAAGGTAAGAAAGAATTTTCATCCAAGATGTTAACTAGCAACAGAAAATTTAAAGAAATAAGGGATTTTTTCAGACAAGCCTACACAAACTGTTACTCAAAAGAGCTTGCCTTGAGCACCGTACCACCAAAAATGGAATTACCTTTGGGATGTAGGGAATAAGGTAGAATCTCTTTCACTTATTAAGTGTAATCCATGATGCTATTTGAAAGTTTCACAAGACTGATAGCCACAAGAGCATCACACCTCTATCAACCACCATGGTGCTACACAAACTCGGGGTGGAGCGCACAGGGTTTTGGTGGGCTGGGTGGACGGACGCTCTTAAACCACAGTGCTGCCCTCATGGTATCAGTGCTGGGCTCTGCAGAGCTTGTACAGGGGAGGCTGCAACACAAAGTCACCTCGAGGGCTTCTCCTCCTCTGCCACTCTCTGGGTAAGGACTCCACTCCCTTTATGTAAGCCAGCTATGTATTTTGATAAACACATACCAGCTTTGAAACGAAAAACAGAATTAATCTTGTTTTGTGGTCTTTTTAACTGCACTTTCTGGTGGTGGTGTGGTGGTGGTGGGAGCAGTGGTGGTTTGGGTTTTTTGCTTTTTAAAAAAAAAAATTAAAAAAGAGAAGAATATAATGAGCCTAAAGTGTTCATGTCATTTGAATTATAAAATAAATTAATGTGAGGAACACCACACAGTGGGGAGTAACATGGTCTAGACACCCAAGAATGATCTTGGTACATCCCTCTTTCCCCTCATGGTTTATCCTGGAGCACACATGTGCCTTGTTGGTAAGTTCTTCATTAAAAGGGCTGGCTCCTTTGTCATGCTCATACATATCCTGTCAAGCTGGACTTCAAAACTTGGAGCCACAAGTATGGTAACAATCCAGATGAATAGTGATTTAGGGAAGGCAACAAATAAACATCTCCTTATCAAATTAAAAACATGATCTAGACAAACTCCTAGAGTTGTTCATTCCTAGAAATTCAGGATAGCTTTACAACAACATGGAAGTATTGTTTTAGTGGCAACTAACAAACCCTTACATGATGGCCCCCTAAACGTTAGAGGCTGACTGTGCACAGGATCCTTGGACTATTATGAAATGGCGACATTAGGACTCTTTCTCTAATTTGCTGCTAAGAAGGATGTTTTGTAGTTGTAGGAAAAAGACATAGTGAGGGAAAGGATCAGTGTTCTGTATTCTTTTGTAAAGTTTATTTAACAAATACAATACATATAAAATTATCCATGCAAACTACACTTATGAGCTGACAAGCATTACTCACTCTCTCAAACTAAAGAGAAGCTAAGCTTATACCTTTCTAGCAAATATTCAGAAGATAATCACTTAAGTACTTACACAGCACTTACCTAAGTAATGCAGTGTTAGTTAGGAAGCAAAATTTCCTAAATAACAGAAATTCTCCTGTTACTTTGGAAAATGCAGTTTCCTAAGTAAAACTGCATTACTTAGGAATGTGCTGAAGAGTCAAAAACCAAAATTCAGCAGGCTGTAACTTTATCTTCTCTATTTCTTTTCTCAATCCCTAGAAGGAAAGATGGCCTAACCAAACATTTATGTAATATAGTACAGCAAAATGGAAGAGTCAGTATCTTAATATGAAAAATAATGCAGGAATATTACATATCTGTGATAATACTTTGGATTTGCAGCACACAGAAAAACCACTTTTTCATCACAGGCATCTACAGCAGGAACCTATCTCACGCCAAGGTATCAGCGTAACACTAATGAAAAAGGAAAATAGCATTTGTTGCTACTGGTAAGTTACAACTTTGATATGTTTCTATGCTTGGGTTTTCTCTGGATAAAGGCAGTGGGGGAAAGTGTCTCACATCCAAGAGATGAGCAGGGACATGTTGTTCGTAACCTCAGACTTCAAATAAATAAAGATAGGTAGAGAAGACAGACTAGGAAAATGCAATGGAGTTTTCAACTTGTATTTCAACCAGTCATAGCTAACACACATCTGTTTGCTGACAAAAACGTGCATTAATATGCTACCACGTAACCTCCGAGCGTGCAGCATTGCAAACAATGCCCTTCAGGTTCTCAGAATTCCCATTATTAGTATCACCAGTTGTCTGTCACAGACAAGTGGCAGCAAAGTTAAATTCATCCAAAGCATCTGCTAAGCTCATTACAGTCACTGCCTCCTATCTCTCTAAAGCACAATACTCCAGAAGGATGCTTACATTTCTATGGGAAGTCACAGTTAGCAGTGCTTTAACACCTAATTTGATTCAAGTTTGGCTTAATTGTTTATCAAAACCCTACACATTACCAGGATTAACAGGAGTATGTATCTCACTTAGAGAAATAGGCCCAATGAAGTAGTATATTATGTTGTCCTCAGTTTGAGCACAAAGTCAGTACTCCTCAGCCTTAAACTGTTCACACTCAATACACAGGAGCAGTTCTTAATTTGTTCTCCTTTTGCACTTCTCCCTATTTTATTTTACACCAATTATAGCATGTACTGAATGCATATATATTTCTCTGTAACCTGTACAAACAGTAGTAGTTCATGCAGGTATACCGCTAAGAACAAACATACACACGCTACCTCATTATTCCTGAGATGATTATGTACAGTGCCAGTTCCCAGTTGGGCCTGGGCAGTGCTTCTGCACACGTTGCTAACATGTGATATGGAAGGGATGCATTCAAGACAAATATGAATTCAGAGCCTCCTGCAGTAATGAATTTTAATTCACGTATGACTCTGGAAGCAGTGAAATCAGGTGTAAACCTGAAAACAAAGTAAAGCACATTAGAACTTTTCATACGAACAGCATGAAAGTTTAAGGTAATTTATATTATTCATAAATTTAAAAAAAAAAAAACCAACCCAAACCACAAACTCGACCTATTACTGCCATGAATGGCATCCCAATCAAACATTTATAACAAATAGCCTAGTAGTACAACTAATAACCATCCACACAATTAGCCTAAAAATACTTACGAGTATCTTTCAAATACCTCGAGATGTGTTTGACTAGTTCATCAAACACCTATGCTTAACACATCTGATACACCATATGAAGATACAGTATAGTAACTGAAATTAAGTTTTGACCAAATCTGTTAAAAGAAAGCTCTGAATGCAGTAAAAAATTAATGGCAGCTGTAAGCAAGCAATGGAACCGACCATTATGTGAGCTATAATGTTTTTAAACACTTCACCTTTAAGTCACAGCTGCCTGCCTTTTCTAAAACATCACCACTGTGTTCCCATCTCATCACAAACTCCGATTGTTGCAGAAATACTACTGGAGTTTCACTGCCTGCAATATCTCGTATGTCCTCTTGCAGAACAGAAGCATCTTCTGAATTTTTCAGATACAATATTCTGAATAGTTAAATTTAAATCCAAGCAGTGTTAAAAAGATTAGGGTTTGGTGCGGATATCTTTTACAACAACAACTGACAGAATTAATCATTATCATTAAGGCAACAGACAAAATATTCAGGACTAAAATGCTGTGTGTTATGATAACAATCCTTAGACTAAAGGCTCTTTTCTACACACTGCAATGCACCAAACCCATATGTAAATCTAGATCTTATGTGCATTCACAACCCAAGTGAAGCAAATGTATAAAAAGTCTACACAGTAACACTACTCCAACTCAGTAAGTTATACTTACTGGATAGTAATAAAAGCAATACTATAGTCAGTCATGAAAACTTAAAGTTATTTAAAAATCAAACAGTGTTTGCAACAAGAGAAAAATTTCATGGTTTATGTTGTATTAAAAAAAAACCCAAAATACTCAAAGCTTAAGTAAAAATCCTCAGAATTTAACCAGATTTAACTGTTTTCTTCCAAAACAGAATTAGGAATACATAATGTAAGACTCCATTCAGATGTAAGAAAAAACACTTACAATATGACAATGTCTTTAGAGGCATTGGCACTTAGTGCAAACTCATGACAGTTAACTACTTTAAATCCATATCCTTCACATGTATAGCCACTGATTTCCATAGTTTTCACATTAATCTGCAGCTGTCCTGTGTTTTCCACTTTAAATGTTCTTCTCAGTGTGAAATTCGGTTCTTTGTATTTCATTTCTAGACACAAACAGCAGAAAGTAATTAGTGTTGTGCTAAACAGCTATCCTTCACTATACTCATACTCTACAGCAGAAGAGAGTTCTGTTAGTCTTCTAGCAGGAAAGGGGACTAAGCAAGGCCCACAGAAATCTTTACATAGCCTGCAGGAACAGATCTCTGCAGCCAGATTCTCACCACTGTCCAGGTAGGGCACTTGTACAATTCCAGAGCCCTCTAACTCATCAGGAAAAAACCCAAACCCCCAAACCTCTGATAGCACTGCTGCCTCACAAAAAAAGTCATCTAAGCTGTAGAGTTCTTTGATGTACTGCTTAGTATTGTGGTATTCTGTGAAAAAGTCCCAGCACGAGGAGAATTAAAATTTTTCTGTGTCTTAAAAATAAAATCCATGGCTGAGCTACATATATCTTATTAGCAAAAACATCCCTAAAGCACAGCATGTAAGTGGTAATGACTAAGCTTTACTTGAAGTTTTCTTACTCATCCCTCAAAAAAAATCAGAATAACCTCAGATAATAATTAACATGGCACCTTACAAATATGTCTGGAAGTCTGCAAAGTAATAAAGCAGATTTTAATATAAGATAAAACTAAACCTCTTCTACCGGTTCCTTTGGTAATACAGGTATTCTTGGCTCTCCTCTTAGAAGCAAGCCTGGGCTGGAGAGCAGAAAACCTCTGACCCCAGAATAGAATCTGGCTGGGATTTAATTTTCATTGAGGAACACACCCTGCCTTTTTCCATTGTTGGCTATGTGCATACTGATTCTGAAGGTGTGAGGGGAAAAAACCCCAAAACAACCCAAAACAAACAAAGCTGCATCTGAGATCAATGTACTTAAATTTAGGAATTAGAGATTTTCCTAGTAAATGTACTAGGATCTTCACCTCCTCTGTCTTGAGTTTTGGTGGATGAAGGACTTTTGTTTCATCTTTCCTAGTTTTCACATTAAAATGAAAAAGGTAAAATATTTTATTTTCTGCCTGAAGCAGTTATTTTAATGTAAATAAAGGAATTAAATTTCTGGGGCACTAGAACAGGGGAAAAATATTTCCACACACATTTCAATTTATACATGCAAAATACTAATTTATTTTCTGTTCACCATAGTAGCTCATGAAGTACTCACTTTCTGAGCAGTCTTTTAATAATGCTTCTGTGATTTTAAAGCGTAAAGAACTTCCTGGACCAGGAGATTTGCCTGCAACCTTCAAGCTCTCAGTTGTTCCTTGTCCTTGTACTATTATGGCATCTATTACAGTCAAATTATTTCTGTGTACAAAGAAAAAAGGGAAGCATTCATAAAAGGATTATGCTTTTCATGCTATTCATAAAAGTCTATTGCTCCTGCAAGCTTCTCTACAGACCACGAAGTCTGTAGGACAAATCCGAAGTCTGTATCCCAAATCTGGAGGACAGAAATATAAGCAGTTCCACAAATAATTCCCCACAACACAGAAGTAAATAGCAGGGGGTCTCAAACTTAGTGTTTGCAAGACAAAAACCTAAGAAATCACAACGTGGCGTACAAATAAAAACCCCAATGGGGTAGTAATTAAAGTTTGTATTTCATCATCATATTAATGTATTACACCTGATACAAAGTGAAATAGCTACTCAGAGCTCTTTACTGGAAAGACTGAACTGGCATTGCAGCCTGATGGTGGAAATGGCATCTATAACTGGAGTCCCTACTTTCAAGATAGTGTAGTATGTATTCAAGAATTTAAGCCTCCAAGTATAACAGTGGATTATGTATTTATATGAGAAAGTATAATTTTCTATATAATATATACAAACTGGATACAGTTTAACTACTGTAAAACATATCACAATTACACTTAAATTAAATCTTTCTCCAGACACATATGATTCTACAATTATTCTGGTAAATGCAAGAGTTTCTTATTGACAGCTGATCACAAGTATTATCTTAGAAATAAAAAAAATCAGAAAAACTCACACTCATTTCGGAAATATCTCTCATACCTGATAACAACTAATGATGAAACAGTTTTATTATGAACTGGAGTGAATTTTACTTTGACAGATTTTCTCTCACCAGGTTTTAATATTATGCTTAAAACTGAATGACGAGCCAGGCCCTTTGTAAGTCCTACAGTGCTGTGTAGTGGCTGAACCTTAAGAAAGTGGAGAAAACAAAGTAACACTTTTAAAAATAGGAAATTTTTACATGTATTTGATAGAAATTATATTATTTTAGCTAGAAAATTGGTCTTGTTATAAAGAAGTGTACTACCCAATGACATATACTAGGGTTTTTAACTAGAAAGTCTGATAGCACAAGAACTTCCCTACTTATTAGTAAATCATCTGTGTTCATTTAGCAGCAGAACACAGCAAGACAGAACTGAGCTAAACTATACACATGTGGAATCATAAAGCTCTAGCAGAAAAAAAAAGAGTTGAGAAGTTTTTAAAATGTGTATTTTAAACACTAAATCAGCATTAAGCCATTATGTAATATTTTCTATGCTCAAAATGTTCCATTGTTAAAACATTTTTAGAATATTGTTTTTTCTAAGTAAAGCAAAAAAAGGGGAAAAGCAAACTTAAAATAGAAGAACTATTGAAAAAAGTGTATTTTGCTAAGTTTGCCTTTAGATACTGCGCAAGCATCAAATTGCTAATCTAAAGCTAACTGCGAATGAATGGGAAAAAGTGTATACATTGGATGAGAAAAGAAAGCGTTCAGGATGTGGCATGCTCTATATGAAAAAGCACACCCAAAGTTGTCCACAAAACTCAAATCATTTAAAATAAAGAACAAAGCAATGGAAAACGCAATACTTTGCTAATTTTAGAACTACCAACCACCATACCAAAGAAAATAATCCTGTATCAGTAAAAGAATGAACAAATGCAGTTTTCCTGTAACTTCTGCAATCCTATTGTAACATAAGCATACAGAAAAAGCGACATTTTAACTATTACATTTGAAGATACCTACTTTTCCTAATTCTCTGAAAATATCCAAAAGAAGCATCACATTTTTCACACATACTAATACCTAAATTTGAAGACGTGTATGACTGAACTCTTATTAAAACTTTAAAATATGTAAATATAAAAACTTAAAGACTGTATTTAAATACTTACGCAATTTCTGAAGACCTGGAACTCTAGAGTCCTCGGATTGAAATTCGTTGGCTTACTCAAATTAAACCTGAAACAGACATACATTTTTTTTTCCTCCCCCCAGATCAGGGAAGATAATGACATATTTGCACTAAAGGGTTTTAGCACAAATCAAGAACTGATGGTAGGACTCAAACAGTATGACCTGAAAGGATCATTTAATTTTTCTTATTCTCCCACTCATGCTTCAACTTAAGGAAGAAATATAAACAGCAGTTTACCATTGAATGCACATCTGTATTTTTTGCTGAGCTAATCAGCCTAGATTCAGTTCTCAACTGAGCTAATGATTCAAATTCTAGAAGTGACCAAAACTAACTACCAACACAGCTGCCAAAAACTGCATGCATTTTTTGTAAAATGCATTTTGCTATAGAGTGAGAATGGCCTAACTTCTCTAAAACCATACTTACCGTTCTAACATTTTGTCAACAAAGGTGAATGGGTTAGAATACAGAGCTACAGGAAGGAACTGAACATACACAGGAACGTCAGCTGGATTTTCTAGAAAAATCTCTTCTTCCTATTCAGAAACACAATTTTTGTAAAGTTTACGTTGGGGTTGAAGTAATTAGAAACAGCTATTAAAAATGCAGTCCCTACAAAGTGATACTATCAACAAAATAACTTACTGATGAACTGTTTGTATTGGTAAGAGGGAAGCTTAGATGGCGTGGTGAACTAAGTATGGAAGGCCAGGCCATTTCTGCTGTAATTTTCAACCAGACATCCTTCTGAAGATCTGTGTCTACTTCAAATACAGCATTCAGTCTGGAGAAACAGTTATAAAACTTACTTTACAGGAGTAAAATCAGCAAAGTCTGGAAAAAGCAGAGTGCTTAAAAGCACCCTGAAAACATTGGTTTGAAAAATAGCATGGTACATTATATTTATATGCAACTAAAGAAAAACATTGAACTCTGTCCATATGTACCGCTATTAAAAAGTGCAACAGAAACCACCAAAACATGTTATATGAGACCAACCCAAAGATTCTAAAGATGTTCTCTGTTTAAGTATTGTTGCCAACATCCATCCATTCCAAGTTCTGTTATGGCCTATTTATGGATAAAGGCGAGCAGAAAACGTCGTAGGACTTAGGCACTGCATCACAAATCTTGCAGCATTTGCGTTTCTCTTAAATCACTGCTCTTTGGACAGTGAGACACAAATTTTTTCTTTCATTAGGAAGTGCCTAGCTCTTGACTATTGCAGAAACAGACTTTGAGAATATAACTGAGATTCAGATCAGTAAGAAAACGACCCAAAAAATACTTGATGATTTGCAAAGGTATAAACAGTAGAAAGGAAAAATACTAGTCCTGCTACAGTCTGTTCCTAATACAACATCCAGACATCCACTACCCAGAACATGTATTGTGCCTCCACATGCGTAACATACAGGAAATCTGTACATGTATTCTAGCTGCAACGGATACATGGAGTATGTGCCTGGACAGTATACTCCTGTCTAACAAATCTAAAGCAAATCTGAACTAGTCATACTTGGTGTCAGCTATTTCCATCAGTGAATGAAGTTCTTTGCTATTAACCAGCCTCTGCAACAGACTTGATTCCTGTTCTCCTACAAGCTCTCCACGAGGAGCTGAAATAAGACTAACAGCATTGAGTTCTCCACTCAGCAACACAGACGAAACGCTAGACTTCAAACCTAGAGAAGTATTTTGGAGAGACTCCAAATGCCCAAGTCAGAAACCCTCTGTACTCAGAAGGAGCAGTTTCTCCTTTGCTGAATGCTTCCTTGGATAGTTGGTTAATTTTAACTCTTTTTAAGAGAATTATATATTCTAGAT